TGTCTATTTAGGTCCTTTGCCCATTTTTTGATTGGATTGTTTATCTTCCTTTTGTTAAATTATATGAGTTTTCTGTAAATGTTGGAGATTAAACCCTTATCTGAAATAGCATTGGCAAATATGTTCTCCCATGCAGTGGGCTTTCTTGTTTTGTTGATGGTTTCTTTTGCTGTGCAGAAGTCAGTATATCTTTTTTTAAACATTATCTTTTAAAACAAACAAAATATTTTTAAAAATAATTTTCATGTCTCTAAGTGCTGCATTTACATATGTTTCATAAATTATTAAAGACATGTTTCTTAACTGTGCAGAGAAAAAGATATGGAGCATACTCTCCGAATCCCTGAAGTTAATGTCAGTAAGGTAAGCTCTTTGATTTTACAAATACAGCACGTTGATATAATTTTATAAGTCATCATTATAGCAGAAAGCTTAGAGTTTTTCCCATTTAATAGAAAGGTTAATAGTCAAAAAGTAATGCTAATGAAGGTAATACAGATTTGTTTGTTCCACTGCTTGAGAAAATAAAAATTAACTACAATTTGAATGAACTAAATTATGTTTGATTTTTAAAAATCTGGAGCAAGAATAGAGAAAATGTGGACTGATTTAGGTACATGAAGTAATACCAATTTAACAGGTATCTATTGAGTGAAATAAATATGCTAGATATTATGACAGTTCAAAAATGAACCAGACCTAGATTCAGGCTACTTTTAGTTGATGTTTACTTAGAGTCCAGAGTATTTTATAACCCTGGAACAATATATTCTCTCCTAGTTGAGCCTCTAATGGTTTCTTTCAGGAAAAAGAACAGTTGAGTTTTCAAAACATTAAGGACAGAGTTACAACTTAAATCACAAGTAAAAAGCAAAAAGGTATAGCTTCTGAGAGTCTATACTTCATATTTATCTTTTTTGTTCTGTATTTTCTGTTGTTTTTCTTCCTCCCTTCTATGGCTATAATCTTTCCCCCTTTTTTTTCTTTTTTGACCTTTGATCATTCCCATTTTGTTTCTATTTAATGGGATTATAATATGGATCTAAAGTACGTATTTTATATGATTTTTGTTTTTTTTGAATGAAATTTCTCACTATTACTTTGGAAGTCCAGTTATTTTTACTGTGTTTGGACTCATTCAGAGAGGAGTAAATCCTCATAATCTTAACTCTGAGCAAATTATCTTGATTTTTAACTTTCCTGTGAACCTTTATTCTCCCCCCACCCCCCATAGAAAACCCAGTCTGTAACTTAAATAGCAAAGAACTCCTTCCCCCACGCCAGTCTAAAAACACAGGTTGTTCAGTGGTGGCATTTCTGCCTTTTCTTTCTTTCTTTTAAACTAACATGTCCACTGGTGGGGTAAATAATCTGTTAACTGTGAAATAAGTTTGACAATATATATTATATCACACATATCCAGGTAGATAAAAAAATCCCCCCCCCACACACACACACACACACAAACACAAACATACTCTCTTTGTATTACTATTAGGGAAAAAAAACAGAAACACGTATTTACCACTGGATAAAGATTTCATAAGTTAAAAGAAAAGGGGGAAAAATCATAGATGACAGGACAATTTTAAGTAATTTAAGTTTGAAGTTCTTTATATATTAAGAAACAAATTTAAAAGGCAAACTAGGATAGTCAGAAAAATATGACAAAATATATCTCCTTTACATTTTAAATGTTCATACAAATTCACTTTAAAACCCCACTATGATACCAATAGATAATTAAAGGACATAAAAAATTCACAGTAGAGAGAATATCATGGTTCTTCTATGAAAACCAATTTTTCTCGTAATTTAAGAAATACAAATGAAGCCAAGATGTCTGTTTTCATTCATCATATTTATTAAATATCACTCCTGTTGGGAGCATAATTTAGAACAGCTCTTTGGAATAAGGTTCCAAGTCAGGAGACTTGAAAATATTTAAATTCTTTGATATAGTTATTATCTAAACAACCCAACTGAATAAAACATATGAAGGGCATGTAGAGGAAATTTACAGAATAGGAAACCCAAATGGTTAATAAGTATAAGAAAAGGTTTCAGCTTCAGTAGTAATCAGGGATGTGCAAATTAAAATCACAATGATGAGATTTAATTTCACACCTATTTTGCTTGAAAAAACAAAATTCTCCAGATCCCAAGTGTTAAGTCTATTAGGACAACAAGAATTCTTATAGGCTGCTGATGGGAATATAAATTGGTACAACCACTTTGGAAAACAATATGGCAGTATTTAATAAAGTTTAAGATTTGCATATACTATTGCTTAGTAATTTTATTCCTAAGTGTATACTCCGGAGAAACACTTGTATTGTCCACAAGAAGATTTAATGTACAAAAATTGTTCAGAGAAACATTTAAAAAAAATTTTTAATCTTAGGGGAAACCTGGATATCCATTATCAGAAGAATATGTAGATTGTGGTGCGTTTATACCAGCCATGGGCAAACTACGGCCCGCGGGCCAGATCCGGCCCATTTGAAATGAATAAAACTAAAAAAAAAAAAAGACCATACCCTTTTATGTAATGATGTTTACTTTGAATTTATATTAGTTCACACAAACACTACATCCATGCTTTTGTTCCGGCCCTCTGGTCCAGTTTAAGAACCCATTGTGGCCCTCGAGTCAAAAAGTTTGCCCACCCCTGGTTTATACAATGGATTACCATTCAGCACAGTGGTACAACTGTGCACAACACCTGGATGTACCTTAAAACCTAATATTTAACCAAAGAGGCAAAAATAAAAGAAATATGTACAGTAGCATACATTTGCCAGAACTCATCAGCCTATACATTTAAGGCCTATGCATTTCCTGTATATAAATTACATCTCAATTAAAAATTCATACAGTATGACTCTCATATCAAGTTCTGAACTAGGCAAATAAACACGTATTGTTTATGGATACATAGATATGTGGTAAAATTGTAATGAGATGTGTCATCTATAATAATAAAAGCACAATATGCTAATTAGACCGGACAGCCGAACCTTCCAGACGTCCTTCTGGACGAAGCCTGGGCTGTGAGGGCCAAGGCAAGCTGCTACAGCTGCGAGGGCTGAGCCCCTTGCACAAATTTCGTGTACTGGGCCTCTAGTCTATATATATAAGAGGCTAAATATGCAGTGTTCCCTCAGGAGTTCAATCAGGAGTTCAGCCGGCAGCTGGGGAAGGCAGGCCCCAGCCAGCAGCCAGAAGACCCCTATCTGCCATGATTGCTGGCCAGGCCTAGGGACCCTACCCATGCATGGATTTCATGTACCTGGCCTCTAGTAATTAAACATCGAACCTCTGAAAAGGAAGGGTGGGGGATAGATGGAGTGAGGTATACATCGATGGATAATTTATTTTAAAAATCTGAGGCAAATATGGAAAAATTTATTAAAGCTGGGTCACAGGTAGATAAGTTCAATATATTCTTTTGTGTGTTTGAAACATGTTCATGAAATTTTTAAAAAATAACCTTACTGTGATATAGTTTATATACCATACTAGAGGCCCAGTGCATGAAATTCGTGCACGGGGGGAGGGGTTGTCTCTCAGCTCAGCCTGTTCGCTCTCCAATCTGTGACCCCTTGAAGGATGTCCAACTGCCCGTTTAGGCCCGATCCCACTGGGGCTGGGTCTAAACGGGCAGTCAGACATCCCTCTCACAATCCAGGACTGCTGGCTTCCAACCGCTCACCTGCCTGCCTGCCTGCCTGCCTGATTGCCCCTAACCACTTCTTCCTGCCAGCCTGGTCACCCCTAACTGCCCTCCCTTGCCAGCCCGGTCACCCCTAACTGCCCTTTCCTGCTGGCCTGGTCCCTCCCAACTGCCCTCCCCTGCAAGCCTGGTCGCCCCTAACTGCCCTCCCCTGCAGGCCTGGTCCCTCCCAACTGCCCTCTCTGGCAGGCCTGGTCGCCCCCAACTGCCCTCCCCTGCTGGCCATCTTTGATCACCTAGAGGTGGCCATCTTGTGTGTTGGGGTGATGGTCAATTTACATATCACCTCTTCATTATATAGGATACAATTTGCCCAATGGAAGTATATAATTCAGAGGTTTTTTAGTGTATTCACAGAGTTCTGCAATCATCACATCAATTTCAGAGCATTTTCATCGCCAGAAAAAGAAACAAACTAAATAGTAATCACTCATTTCTTTCCAACCTCCACAGCCCTATGCAACCACCAGTCTTGTCTCTATGGATTTGCCTTTTCTGTATATTTTATGTAAATGGAATTAAATAACATGTAATCTTTTGTAACGAGCTTTTTTACTTAGCATGTCTTCAAGATCCATCCATGTTGTAGCATATGTCAGTACTTCATTTCTTTTTATTGCCAAATAATATTCCATTGTATGGATATACTACATTGTGTTATTCATCAATTGATGGGCATTTGAATTCTTTCTACTTTTTGGCTATTTACCAGTCAACTGCCATGATATTTTGAATTCAATTAAAAAAGGTCCACTGCTTGTGTCTATAGATGGATAAGAATAATGCTGCTGTGAACATTCATGTACAAGTTTTTGTTTGGATGTATGGTTTTCTCTTGATATAGACCTATGAGTAGAATCATTGGGTTGTATGGTAACTCAGTTTAACTTTTTGAGGAACTGCCAGACCCCTTCAAAGCAGCTGCACCATTTTACATTCCTACTATATTGTATTGTATTATATTGTGTATGAAATTTTTAATTAAATATTTCTGCAGCTCTTTATCCAATTAAAGAGACATGTATTGAATACATATTCAGTATTCATATATATGAGGCACTGTGATATATACTGAGAGGCAAGCAAAAGTGTAAACTAATGTAAGCAGTAATTGTAAGCAGTATAATAACATTCACATATTCATATAACTTCATAAATATTAGATAAATAGAGTGCTGTGGAGCAAGGATAGAGTAATTAGTCCTGAATATTAAAAAACTGGAAAAATTCTCTGAGAAGTTGACTTTGAATGTTTCAAATCACATTTTGAATTTAGAACTTTTAATGATATAGACAAGTACTTAATTTGGTAAAAAAATAATTTCAAATTGTTTATATGGCATAGTCTCAACTATATTTTAGAAGTAGGAAAGGTAGGACACACTGAATTATTGATAGTTATAGGTAGAATTATAGGTGACTTTTTCTTCTGGAGCCTCCACATTTCTACCAGAAGCATCATAATAGTTTTGTATTCAGAAAAAGTACTAAAAATAATAAAAGTTAAATTATCAGGGCCTAAACTCCATTGCGTCTTATCATAGAGAAATTGTTATCTATGGTTTTAAAAAAGTATACCATTTTATCATTATCTTGTTTCTTTTTTAAGTTTCATGCAGAAATTTATTTTGACCATGACTTACAAAGTTATGTCCTTGTGGATCAAGGCAGTCAAAATGGTACAGTTGTTAATGGAAAACAGATTCTTCAGGTGAGTGTGTGTGTGTGTGTGTGTGTGTGTGTGTGTATACATATATATATATAAATTACTTGCACATTATTTTTAAAAAATGAACTGAAATTTTTTATTCCTGAAGGCCATAGTTATTATATATATCATTTGGTTAGGTCAGTGTTCAAGTCCAAATGTGTTACATGGAAGGGAATTCTGAAAAAGGGCTGAAGAAGGATATAATAAGTTAATACTTGACTATTGAGTTTTGACTTCTAATTATGTATCTATGCCTTGTCTTTAAGAGATAAATGCATTTTTAAAAATATGTTTTTATTGTTTCAAAGAAGGAAGAGGGAGAGATAGAAACATCAATGATGAGAGAAAATCATCTATCACTGCCTCCTGCAAGCCCCTTACTGGGGATTGAGCCTGCAACCTCAGCATGTACCCTGATTTAGACTTGAACCTGACCTCATGTTTCATAGGTAGATGCTCAAACACTGAGCCACACTGGTGGGGCGAGATAAATGCATTTTAAAGCTATTCAGAGTAAATGGTTTTACAGCAGCTTTAGGGGTCCTTTTTTGTGTTTTTAAAATTTTATTTTAATGAAAGTATTGCTAAACTTTAAATTCCTTGAAGGCATCGGCTATGTCTATCCAATTAACTCTTCTATCTTCAGCATTTAGCAAAGTGCTTGGCACTGGAAGGGAGGACGTATTCTTAAAAAATGAAATTGTCAAGAGGAAGAAGAATAATGATGCACTTATCCCCTGAACACTTATTAGTCTTTTTTATCAAAATTATTTGTTTTGGTACTAGGTTTTTTAAAGTTTGGGTGGGTATTTCTCTGAGAGGATTGGGCATGGAGATAGGAGATTGTGTTATCTTCTCCACTAGTAGAACATTATGGATCATCCTCAAGTTGTGGAAATGTGTGTACATATGTGTGCCTATCTCATTGAGAACCATCTCAAAAATACTTTTGTTATAATCAAACATTACTTCCATTTGACATAAAATAATCATATGTAACTCTTTTGGATTTCTGTTTTGTAATTTTTCCCTTCAGCCTAAAACTAAATGTGACCCTTATGTACTTGAGCATGGAGATGAAGTGAAAATTGGAGAGACTGTGTTGTCCTTTCACATTCACAATGGCAATGACACCTGTGATGGCTGCGAACCAGGACGGGTTAGAGCTCACCTTCGTCTTGATAAGAAAGATGAATCTTTTGGTATGTGAAACTATTTTTAATGTGTATAACAACTTTCAAATTCACTGGAGTATGCTAAATATGTATCAATTGGCTACGAGCTTCATATCTTGACATAATACTGTGTTGAGAGAATTTATATAATTGATTTTAGAGAGAGGAAGGGAGAAAGGGAGGGAGAAAAGGAGGGAGGGAGAGGGGGAAAGAGGAAGAGAAAAAGAGAAACATCAACGAGAGAAACGTCCATTGGTTGTCTCCTGAACTCTCTCCCTGACTGAGGATTGAACCTGCCATCTTTTGGTCAGGACAACGCTCCAATCAACTGAGCCACACTGGCTAAGGCGAGATAATTTATATTTCAATAAATATTGTCAAATGAGACTAAGAAATGACATGTATTTAAAATTTGAGAACTAGGCTAGTCTGTTATGATTGTAGTTGATTTTTCTGTGTAATAGCTGTTCTTTTATAGCATTAGGTTACTTTCTGACTAGGAGGTAATCATTAGCTCTGTCTTTGCTAATCTAGTTTAGTAGGCTTTTGAAGCAGCTATGTATTCTTCAAAAGAGTAATTGTGACACAACTATAATAAAGATTGGTTTTCTTTTAACATTTATTTACTGATATGAAAAAGTCATCCACAGTTAAACTCTGTCATATAATAGTAACTATCTACAAAAAAGAGAGAAAGATGCAAATTGACTGTACCTTCATGACACCCACCAGCCAATCAGGAGTGAGTATGCAAATCAACCCAACAAAGATGGTGGGCTAATTTGCATACTCAGGCACCAAGTGGCCGGGAGCGGGGTGGGATGCTTGCAGTGTTGCCATGGCGATGACGCAGGTGTTGCACACCGCCCCAACCACTCCAGGCCTCTGGGAAGGCGGAAAGGCAGCTCTGGGCCGGTGCGAAGGTGGTGCCGGCAGCCAGGGGAAGGAAAGCCCATTCTTGCACGAATCTTCGTGCATCGGGCCTCTAGTTATAATAATAAAAGTGTAATATGCTAGTTAGACCAGATGTCCTTTCTTCCAGAAAAAGCCGCAGCGGGTGGGGGCCGAGGTGGTGGTGATGGGTGGGGTTGGGGCCAAGGCCCTTGCATGAATTTTATGCATCAGGCCTCTAGTAGAAAATAATAGTACCCTAATAGGTCAAGATATTAAGAGTTATTGGTTGATATGATTTCCTACTATAGTTTATGTTGATGTATCATCTAAGTATACACCATGATTTTCTGTAGAAAGTAACACTGGGAAGTTGCTATTTTGCTTTAAACTCACTCATCTAAGGGTTTTAAAATTTAAATAGATACCTTGAACTAGTAAGAACAAATTTTTTTCACATCACTTTCCCCCCTAAATATCAATTTTACATGGTCATTGTATATTTTTTGTTTTCAGATGCTAGATCATGAAAATAAGTATGACCCTTTACAAAGTAATATAAATCTTGGGTTCTGTGGTTTTTCTTTTGCACATGCCTGCATTTCTTTGGAAAAGTCACAGTATTTAAGAATCTTAGTGTTGGGTGTTTCTTTTGTTACCTATACTATTACATTCCTATAATCTTTGGGTTTTGGTTTATTTTCCAAGTAGATTTAATTACAAAAATGTTGAAAGGACATCATCACAACTCAAGATTCCTTTATATTAATGTTTATTTGCACTTTTGATTAATTTATAGATGGGATGAGAATATTATTAATTAGTTTTTAATTATTATATATGACTATTTTATATAAAATCTGTCAGCTTTAGTGAGTTTTTCTTTTTTAAATCAGACTCACTTTTTCCTTTTAGTTGGTCCAACACTAAGCAAGGAAGAGAAAGAGTTGGAAAGGAGAAAAGAGTTAAAGAAAATACGAGTAAAATATGGTTTACGGGTAAGGATGTTAAGTATTATTATATGTGTACCTGATTTTGAATAAAAATGCCTTTAGATATGCATAGTCCACTTTAATATATATAAAAATAGTTATTTAGAATGATTTTGAAGTTTATATAATTTCTTTTAGTTGTTTACTGTTGTTACCTTAACAACTGTTGAGGTTGAAGTAGAAAAAGGATAATAGTACCCTACATTTTTTAAAATTTATTTTTATTTATTATTTTTTTAAAAAATATATTTTAGCTACATTTTGATAGCCATTTCTGGTTTTAAAAACTTGCATTCAAATGTTACCATCAAAGAACATAGTTGAAGGACTAACGCTGCCTGATTTCAAGACTTGTTATAAATTACAGTAATACAGTATAGTATTGGCATAAGGATAAACAAGTCAGGGAAACAGAATAATGAATCCAGAAATAAATCCATATAGATGGACAGGTGTGTGTGATTTCAGCAAAGGTGTGAAGCAATTTGGTGGAGAACGGGTGGTTTTTTTAAATGAATAATTTAGTTACCATTTGCAAAAATAACAACAAAAAGAACTTTGATTCACACCACATAATATATAAATGAATTCAAAATGGATCATAGATATGAATTTATAAATATTTTCTAAGCAAACGTTTTAGGCAAAGATTTTTTTATATATCTAACACTGAAAGCACAGTTCATAAAAGAGCATATTAATAAATTGCACTTCCTCTAATACTGTTTCTCCAAAGACACTGTTAAAAGGATGAAAAGATAAGCCACAAACTGGGAAAAATATTTGCAAATCAATCTGATAAAAATCATACAACTTATATCTAGAATACATAATGAACTCTCAAAACTCAGTAAACACAAGTCAATTAAAAAATGAGCAAAAGATTTGAATAGATACTTCCAGCTGATGTACAGATGTCAAACACATGAAAAGATGTTCAGTGTCAGTAGTCATTAGGAAATGCAAATTAAAAACAATTAAAAAGACTGACCATAACAAGTGTTGGTAGGCATATAGAGGAATAGGAACTCACCACTCTAATCCAAGGTATTTAGCCAAGAGAAATGAAAGCATATGCTCATACAAAAACTAGTAAACAGATGTTCATAGCAGCAATTTTTCTAATAGCCAAAACTGGAAAAAATTTATGTGTTCATTATGAATGGATAAATAAACTGTGGTATATACCTCTGTGGTCAAATACTATTTGGCAATAAAAAAGCATGAGCTATTGATACGGGCTGCAATATGGATGAATCTCAATTATGCTGAGTGAAAGAAGCTAGACAAGAGTACATAGTCTATACTTCCTATATAATAAAGAGGTAATATGCAAATTGACCATCACCCCCCCACAAGATGGCAGGGGGTTAGTGAGGGATGACCAAATGATTGAACAACAGGCTGCATGGGGTGACAAGGCTGGCGGGGGGGGGGCAGTTGGGAGCGATCTTTCTGGCAGCAGGGGCAGTTAGGGGCGACAAGGCCTGTGGGGGGGTGGGGCAGTTAGGGGTGATCAGGCCAGCATGCAGAGGAAGTGAGGGGTGATCAGGCCGGCAGGGGGTGGGCAGTTAGGGGCAACCAGGCAGGCAGGCAGGTGAGCAATTAGGAGCCAGTGGTCCAGGATTGTGAGAGGGATGTCCGACTGCCAGTTTAGGCCCAATCCCCGGGATCGGGCCTAAACTGGCAGTTGGACATCCCCTGAGGGGTCCCAGATGGGAGAGGGTGCAGGCTGGGCTTAGGAGACCCCCCCCCCCCTGCACGAATTTCATGCGCCGGGCCTCTAGTCTATTTATATAAAATTGTAGGAAAACAAACTTACATGTGATAGAATGGTTGCCTGAATACAGGAGAAGAAGAATGCTCAGGGAGGATCTGAGGGATAGATTACAAAAAAGGACAAGGACACTTTTGTGGGAGATGGATTTGTTTATTGATTGGGGTGATGGTTTCATAGGTATAGACACATCTCAAAAGTGCCTGATTGTACACTTTATGTGTAATTTATTGTATGTTAATATACCTCAATAAGGCTGTCCCCCGCTGCTGTAAAAAGTATTGCCATTAATCCTGTAAGTAGACCAGGAAGGTAATATTTTCAGTTTACATTTGAGAAACTAAAGCTAAGGGTCACTCAGTTACTAAGTGATAGAGCTAGGTATAGAATCTAGGTCAGTGACAGCGAACCTATGACCTGTGTCAGAGGTGACACGTGAACTCATTTTTTTGGTTGATTTTTCTTTGTTAAATGGCATTTAAATATATAAAATAAATATCAAAAATATAAATCTTTGTTTTACTATGGTTGCAAATATCAAAAAACTTCTATATGTGACACGGCACCAGAGTTAAGTTAGGGTTTTAAAAAATGCTGATACGCCCAGCTCAAAAGGTTCGCCATCACTGATCTAGGTCTAAATTAGTGTATTTGTCCAATGCTTTTTACACTTCATGAAGATGTGGGAAAGATGCTCCAAAATAATATATGTACTGCAAAATTTTATTTTTTTGTTACTTTTGTGCTAAGGACAGAAATCATAATAGAAAAAAATGTCAGGGAACTAATTTGGGAGTAAAATAAAAGTTTTATAAGGAGGGAATAAAATGTTTTCTCAAAAATTGTAACTCGCCGTAGCTGGTTTGGCTTAGTGGATAGAGCATCGGCCTGCAGACCAAAGGGTTCCGAGTTGATTCCAGTCAAGGGCATGTACCTTGGTTGCAGCCTTCTCCCCGGCCCAGGACCTGGTTGGGGCTCGTTCAGGAGGCTACCAATCAATGTGTTTCTCTCACATCCATGTTTCTCTCTGTCTTTCCCTCTCTCTTCCACTCTCCCTAAATAACTCAATGGAAAAAATATCCTCAGGTGAAGATTAATAAAAATATAAATAAATAAATTTTAACTCAATTTCTGAATCATCTTTTGGAGAAAAGCCCATTGAGATCAGTGGTTCCGTTTTGCTTCTCTGATTACAGGCAAAATTAGGTAAAAACTTCTGTGGTACTTTCCTTGAATTGCTCTAGCAGCCCCTAGCAACTCTGGATGAATGTCATACTTTTTACATAAAGATCAATAAGTAATAACTAAGTGTGGAGAGAAGCCTTCTCTGAAGCTCCAAGCTGAATTGACTACCTGCTCTTTTGTGCTTACTGCCACATACTATGTGTACCTCTATTGTTGAACCAATCATATTGTAGCTTGCTAAAGATTATGTGTCTGTCTTCCTGGATTATAAATTTCTTTGTATTCCATCACCTAGCATGGAGCTTAGCATACTCTTTTCTTAATAAGAATAAGGAGCATGGCCCGGCTGGTGTTGCTCAGTGGTTGAGTGTCAACCTATGAACCAGGAGGTCACAGTGTGATTCCTGGTCAGGGCATGGGTTATAGGCTCAATCCCCTGTGTGGGGCGTGCAGGAGGCAGCTGATCAGTGGTTCTCTCTCATCATTAATGTTTCTATCTCTCTCTCTCCCTCTCCCTTCCTATTTCTTAAATCAATAATAAAAAAATTTTTTTTAAGAATACAGAGTATGTTAAGCTCCATGCTACTTAACATATTCTTTACTCATAATTCACATATGATTTATATTCTGTATACAATTTGTGTTTTAGTACAACTTTGAATAATATAAACATTTTAAAGGGGATGGAATAAAAATAGCATATTCAATAACATAATTGTCTTCATTTATATCATGGCTTATTTTAATTAATTGTTTAATAGAGACCACATTGAACAATATTGCTAATAAGGCAGATAAACAGACATTACATTTTTACATATGTGTTGTTTTCATTGAGTATTTTGTTTTTATAAAGAATACAGATTATGAAGATGAAAAGGCGTTGAAGAATCCAAAATATAAAGATAGAGCAGGGAAACGGAGGAAGCAGATTGGAAGTGAAGGAACTTTCCAAAGAGATGATGCTCCTGCATCTGTTCATTCGTAAGTATCAACTTTTTCAAAGTAGTTTCTAAAGTAGTTGTACCAATTATTTTTAATTTATTCATTTATTATAAATGTGACCTAAGTGGTCTTTTAGAAATCAGTTATCTTAATTTTTTTTTAAAGTGAAATTACTGATAGCAACAAAGGTCGGAAGATGTTGGAAAAGATGGGTTGGAAAAAAGGAGAGGGCCTGGGGAAGGACGGCGGAGGAATGAAAACTCCGGTAAGACTTGCGTTTTCTTTCACTCTTTATTCTTTAGCAGGTATGTTGACTGTACCTAATATGTGCCAGGCATTGGCTTCAGAGCTAGTACTATAGTAGCAAGCAAAAGCAGACGTGATTGCTGCCTCAGTGACATTTACGATTACCAAATATATATATGTGCATTGTTTTATTTTGGTTTTAATATTTTCAGGAAGCCTCTTAAGAGTTTTTCCTTCAGTGGAGCTAGGATAGTAAGTGTTATTTCCTGAGACAAGGTTTTTCTGTATCTTTTAGTTGTTTTTAATGATTTCATGGTACTAAGCATTGCAGGAGCAGTTACAGTGTTACTTTACAAATAGGCAGATTTTATGTTAGCTGGAGAATCTGTTTTGGGTTCAGGAATCAGAGCATGTAACAAGCAATAGAGAGAATAATGTTTGAAAACAATACAGTGATTTAATGCCAGTCTCATGGTTCATCTGAATTCAGATTAATCTTTCACAAAAACCTTACAAAGTAACATGACAGAAGAACTTTCTTCATAATTATTTGGTACCTAAAGAAATAATAAATGAATCACTGAGTTTAATGTAAATTTTCTCAATTCTTTGATATACAATGGGAAGAACATGGGTTTTATAGCTAGACCTAGGTTAAAATAGTGCTCTGCTGCTTACTATCTGTGGGACTTAGGGCAAGTTTGGACTTCAGTTTTCATATGTAAAAATGGGGATAATAACTGTTTTTCAATGATGTCATGGAGATAAAGCCCCTAGCATGGTGCCTGACATACATTAGCGACTCAGTAACTGGTAGCTTTTAATGGTTCTCAGCATAATGGGAAGTATTCCCCTCCTTTTATGAAAATAAGCAATTGAGTTCTTTTTATGACTCAACGTTTAACCTACCTCTTCACTTACTTAGGTGAGGCTAGGACAGTAGGTTTAAATACATTTATTGCTGTACTTTTGATTAGAATAGGATGACAGATTCTGCAGCATTTCGATGAATTTCAGTGTTATTTAAGGAGTACTCTATTTGTTGTTGAGGGAACTGTCCTTATTGACAGGCAAGACAGTGTAGAAAAATTTAAGTTCCATGTATAATCACGTATGTATTTCTGCATGTATCTGATACATTTTGATAGATTTTTCTTTTGCATCAATCTTTTCTAAATCAAAAGAATTATACTTAAAATACCAAGTTGGACACAGCAGATTTTAATGTGCTTTGACTGTACAGTAAATAATTCCTCTGCTCAACTTTTGGTAATAGATTCAGCTTCAGCTTCGACGAACACATGCAGGCTTGGGGACAGGTAAACCATCCTCAATTGAAGATGTTCACCTTCTCCAAAACAAGAGCAAGAAGAACTGGGAGAAAGCACGAGAGAGGTTTGCTGAAAACTTCCCAGAAACTAAGCCTCAAAAAGACGCACCAGGGACTGTTCCTTGGGTCAAAGGGACTGTAGAGTGAAGGTCAGTCCTAGAACACAATTGAAGCTTTTTAACAGAGAATCTGGAACTTTTCCCTCCAAAAGAGCCAGTGGCATGAGGGAACCTGTATCACAATTTACCCCCTCATGATTCAGAAATGTATAATAAAGTGTGGTTTGCAGCTTTTAAAAAACATTTTTTAAAAACTAGTAAGTAGTGAATGTATCGAGTTATTTGATGGGTGAATTAAAGTTCCCAGGGCATGGATCAGCTTAATCAAACTTTGTTATTTTTATCTTTGTTATTTTTATCTTTATAAGACCTACATAAGTAACTAGCCATATCAGCAAAATTCATATCCTCTCTAATGATTTAAATGTACATTTGTCTTTGTCTCCATATGTTCATTATGTTGAGAAAACATGGGTAGAGGTGCATAAATTTTATTTTCCTTGAAATAACGTTAAGTAATATTATTGAAGAACTAACAAACAGGTGACACGTAGAAAATTAGTCTTTCATTGTTTTCTTCTGTGAAGAATCTGTTGATTTGTACTATATATTAAGCATTTACATTGGTTTGTTTCATAGATTAAATATTTAGATATGAACAATTGAGTACAGTATTGAAATATTCATTGTACTGGCATTTGTAGTTTTGATAAATCCCATTGCTGGCAATGGAGTTTTGCCAGATAAATCTAATTTCTACTGCCAACAGATTATCTAGCCAAGGCCTCAAACTCAAGTATTTATTGAAAATGTTTCAAATGCAATAAAAACATTGTAACATCAGAAAGAGTGATTCATTGAACCAATGATTTAAACATACTGGTCTGCTTTGAACTCACTACCAGTCAGAATTTTCCTTTTGAAAGTGGAAGAGCAGTGACAAGAGGACACCCTGGAATGCTGGAGAGCTGCAGTGCAGTTTCCTGAGTGCAGGTGTCACTACTCGGCCAGTTATCACTATTTTCTTCTGTTTGACTTTTCTCTCAGCTCTTGTCTGGGAAATTAATGCTGGAATTGACCCTCTTTTGGCAGTGAATATAAGCTACAGCTCCCTCATCTACTATAAAGAAATGTCTTTAAGATTTAGAATAGGAAAGAAAAATTCTGAAAAAAAATACAATAGGGAAAATAATTCAGAAGGAAAGGCTACCTGTTGGAATTTCTAGTCTAAATGGTATAGGGTACGTCGAAAGAAAAGGGAATGAGGAAAGAAAAATAAATTCATTACTAAAGATGAGACGTGACCAAATTATTAAGTCCTTTAAAGCCTAAGTTGGGATAATCAGAGGCCCTAGAATTCCAGATGTGGTTATAATATTTTTCTGTATCCTTCCTGGCCACCTACACACCCTAACACAGATATATGTGCATTAGAATTGGAGACAACAGGAGTTTCCTGCATTATTTTCTCTAAATTAGAAAAATAATTACTCATTTAAATGTGGTTTGGTACTGGTGCCCTGTATATAGGTAACGATACAGAATTCCCAAAGTAGGCTTTGCGTCTGGTAAATCTTACTCATTGGGTTAGTATACTGTCTATATAGTTCCCATTTTTATTACTGGATTGCAGAAAACTTTTTTCATTGTTTTCTTTTGTTAAGAAAATGGAAACTTGAAAATGGTGATAAAAACTAAACACACACCCTGAAATATATGTGATACTTGCATTATTAAACCCCTTTGCAGATCAAAGTCTCAGGGCTACACTGTATAGTGGTTAAAGCACTGAATCATGTCTGTATCTATTTCCAATTGTGAAATAGTATTCATTTCACATGTCTGTCTTAAATAGAAAATGAGAAAATGTAAATAAAACCATTTTGTAAACCATAAAAGTAGTACAAATGTGAGCTTCTGTTTGTTCAGAAGCATACATGTCAATTATGTACAATTTGGATTACACATAAAATTGTTTTGTGTCTAGTATTTTAAATTATAGTTTATTCACACTGTGTAGAGTTATTAATTTAATAGCCTTTAAGGATTATTTTAAGTGGAGCTACAAGTTGCTAATTTGAGAAATCTTAACATTTTATATTTTTGCCAGAACATGAGAAGTTGGTAAAATTGAGAACAGAAAAAAACTCTCAACATTAAAGAAAAATAACAGAATTTTTTTTCTATAATTAAATAGTTAAGAAATACTTTTTCTCAAAAAGAAAGGATTTTTTTCCCTGCTTTTAGACAGTTTTTACTTCTGATGGTTCCTTCGAATCAAATACCTTCCAACGTATTGTGTAAAATATTATTTCTTAATTTGGTACATTTTCAAATTGCAGGCAAAAGAAGATAGAAGTTTCCAACAAAGTAGAACAGACATATCAGAGACTTTGCACAAGGCCACCCTATTGAGTTGCAGGACAGAGGGATGTGCTTGGCAGGGAGCCAGAAAGGCATTTCTGGACCCAACACGTTCTCAGGAACAGTGGAAAGTATTTTCTCTAACATCTTATTCTAAATGTGCTTATTTTTCTAGGGCATCACTTTTGTGTCTGAATCTTTGATTCAAAATGTTTTATTTTATCTTTTTAGACTGTAAAGTTGGAAATACATTTGGATTCTTTAAAATGAGTCAGCATTCATGTGTGTGTCTGTTTCTCTCAGCCCAGGCTCTCACTCTGCCTTGCTGCTTTACTGTTCTTCGTGTTGACTGTGGCTTTGTAGTTGCAGAGTGACTTTTGGAACGTAGGTCGTTACATTTATTTCCGAAACAGGCAGAAGGGGTAAAGAGAGTAGTGTTGTTTAGTTCTCATGTATCAGGAGAGCAAAGCCTACTCAGAAGCTCTCATAACACACTTCTCCTTACGGCTGCTAGCCAGAACCTGGTAACATGCCTACCCACAGCTACAAGAGAAGTTGAAAAGGTGGGCAACAGGATGGTCTCAGTTGACTTAAGCCGATCATGAACCATCACCTGGGGCTGACCATGTTGCTACTGGAACAGAGTTTGGGTTCAGTGAGCAAGGCAGAAGGGGGACAGTTGAATGAGCAGGTAACTGTCTGCCAGAGGGTTGGTTAAATTGTGATACAGTCCTACCATACAATACTTTGTAGCCCTTCAGGTGAGTAAAGTAGAATTATCTATACTCTAATGTAGAAAAACAGTCTCAGTGCATTGCTGCTTAAAAAAACAGATTGTAGAAAAGTGTGCATAGCCTAATCTCATTTAAAAAATATGGGTACATATTACTGTTTTTAATATTAATTACCCAAGGAGTGAACAGACTTATTTTTTATTTTATTATTTCTATATTTGAACTTTAAAGTAGGTATACTTGTGTAGTTAACTGGGTATAACCATACACATTTATGGCAAATAGGAAAGTAACACCAGAAAGTGGAGAAGCCTTCAGGGCTCAACCCCAGACATCTTCCTCACTCTCACATGCCCACTTTCATCTACCATCTATATACCCAGGACTTCCAAGTTCTTTTAGTCAGGATGCATAACTAATTCAAAGTCACCGTAAATGCATCTTGTCCAAGATTGAACCCATAGTCTTCTCCAAACCTGGTCTCTTCCAGTTTACTCAGCTGGCAGCATCATCTAGCTAGTTGTGCAAGCCAGAACCTAGGAGTCAGCCTCTATTCAGTACCACCACCTTCTCTTTCCTTCCCCCTAATTTCCAATGTATTAACTCAATTCACTGTCACCACTCACCTGGACTATTAAAGTAACCTCTTTACTGGTCTCCCAGCAGTCACTCCTCCCTCCCTCCAGTCCATCCACATTGCAGTTTTAGTTTCTCAGACATGCCATGCCCTCTCTCATCCTAGGGTTGCTTATATTCTGTTATGCCTGGAATGCTCTTCTTGTACCCTTTGACCTAGTTAACTGACATATTCTTTAAATCTCTGCTAATTGATTCTTCTTCAGGGATGCCTCATTTGTCCCCCTAGACTAATTGCCTGTGATAAGTGTTCTTGAAAATCCATATTTGTTTCACTTAGACTGCTTATTTTGGTTCACAGCTATATATTAATTAGCATGCTAGTGTGATACTTGTCTAGATTCTGAAATGCCATGTGGGCAAGACCTTGGTTTTTCTCACAATTGCATTCCTAGTGCCTAGTACCAGCTCTGTCTTACACTCTCACAGGCATAGAAGTGAAAGAGCAGGATGGGTTTGGGGGACTGCAAATGGCTTGATACGGATGGAGTTTTGTGTGACTGAGAAACATGGGAGGGACTGAGTTACGTAGAGGACACAGTCCCTTAGTGAATTATGAAATCAAGTTAGTGGTTGGAATCAGTGAACACTGAGTGAAAGTTTGGTTTTCAAACTGTTTGACAGAACCTATGGCATTGCTTTTAAGAGCTGTAGCTGTGCATTTGCTTGATGAGGGTTGAAAGGCTTAGGATGCCAGACTGGTGACTCCATTTCTCATGCTTGTTACCAGAATAGGTTCGTCGTGATCTTGTTGTCAATTCAGGCTTCCAAATAGATTACATATGTAAGAAGGTTTTCACTGCTTAAAGAAAAGGGGGTAGAGTGGGGTCGGATGGGGAGAAGAACTGAGCCACTTACCTACAGCCATTCTAGCATACTGCGTTAAGAAATTTGGATTTTATCTTTTTTTATTATGAAGGATGTTAAGCAGAAAAGGGCCCTCATTAGATAGCTTTATAGCAGAATAACTGGCTGATTGAGGAGAGGTAGAGTGGAGGCTGGCAGACCTCCTTGAGGGTTTGTTTCATTTATCAAATGTTTGTTGAGCACCCGTCAGATGCTGTGCAGACCTGGGAAGGCAGGGACCTGGTTTCTTTTATCCACTGATGTGTGTTCAGTACCTACCACAGGTGGATGCTTAGGAGGTGCTCAGTAAGTGCTTGTTGGTAGGATGGATGGAACACACATTTGTGATATGTCAGGCACTGTACTAGGCATTTAACATATTATTATCTTCTTTATTCCTGACAGTATTTTATGAATTAGAATACAAGCTTAGAGAGGTTTTAATTTTGCTCAAGGTCAAAATACCCATGACAGAGTTGCAGAGCTAGGGTTTAATCTTGATTCTTTTCATCCCAATGGGATGGTTAAGAGCACTGGCTAAAGAGTCTGACTGTCCTGGGTTCAAATTATAGATTCACCACTCCCAAGCTGAATGACATTTAAAAATTTATTTAATCCTGTATACCTTAATGTCTTCGTGGGGTTGTTGGGAAGTTTAAATGAGATAATGAGGCCTA